CGACCAAAAATATTATTCGGTTTTATAAACTTAAATATTTTTCAGGAATAAAGATATGTTAAGAATAAATGTTAAAACAAAATATCAACAATAAATTTCATAAGAAATATAGAAGAAAACTGTATAAACTAATTTAATTTTAATTTTACATCACATTTCCATTCTATTAAAATTATAAAATAAATAGAATGGTCCCAAAATTAAAAATTAATTTTTTTGATAAAAAATATAAAAACTCACATAGATATACTTTGTTGATGTGGATTGTTAAATGTCTGCATTTCATCACAACTTTCTCCACCACTACTGGATGCAGTACAATCGGAGTCAAGATTAGATTCCACAACATGTAATTGTGTGGCTAAAGGTCCAGCCACACTTTCTACTTCTTCACCTTTAATTTTAACTTGAGGAGTACCAAACACTGATTGACGGTTGCTGTTACCGGAAGTACTACTCAAATTATCACGTGATCCATCACCAAAATACCGGCAACATAATCGCTGACGATTCACACTATTACTCTGAGCAACACACATTTTTTCAATTTTTTGCAAAAAGGAACTCAAACTACTACTAATTTCAGGAAAGTTTCTAACATTGGATTTAGAACTGATATTAACTAATTCTTGAAAAAGATATTTTTTCACTCCATGATGAGCAAGTTCAAGAACTCCAGTATTTTCTTCAGCAACATGCCTACCTATTATTCTTGCTTGAAGCTTTCTCAGTCTTCTTAATAAAAATGCACATTTCCTTTCACTCTCGTGTTGTTTTTGGGCAACATCTTGCTGTAACTTTAAAGTATTCACTTTATGTTGGTCCACTGCATCAGCAATATTGCAAATACTTATAACATCAACATCAAGTAAATCTCTTTCAAAAGATGAAAATCCTTCTTCAGGCATAGAAAACATTTCAACTCCATCAACTGTACTTTGGACTGGTTCACTACTACCTGCAGATATGTTTTCTGCATTTTCCACATCCTCAATGGATTTAATTACTTGTAAAATTTCCTCAACATTTTGTCCAATATCTCCAACATTACTAATATTACATTGTTCATTATCTGTAGTTATGTCGCTACCAAAGGCCATTATTTGATCCACATCCAGATTTTTATTGTCTCCTGCTGTTTCTGAGCCCACCAAAGGCAAGTCTGCGCTTGATTTTAAGAAACCCATATTGTCCGCTTGATCACCCATAGATGGGTCGTTCATTATAGTATCAGTCACCTTTTTTTCTGGACTGCCCAGAATGTCCAGTTGTTCACAGTCCTCCTTTATTAGTACTTTCTTTGTAATCAAGTCAGATCCGTGCGTAAATGTAGACAAGCTATCAAGATCATTGGCATATTTCGAGTTGATGACATCACGAATGAGATCCTTAGAGATACCATGTAAACACTGCTCGTCGATCTTTGATGGTTGAACGTTTGCAGAAACAACAAATTTTGCCAGAATTTCACGATTCTGACACACCTGCGTAGCCTGCTCTGGGGAAAGAAATCCACCAGCTGGAAGGGAAGGGAGCAAATTTTCAGGCTTTTGAGGACCACCTTCCGTCAGAGCAGGGGCCATCACTGCCACTGACACTGCCAGTGCTGCAGCCTCGACATCCAGAGGCTCCCACGTGCGTACGCACCCACACCTACACTTCACATGTGCTGTGCTCACTCCCATTCATCCATTACTAATTTATTGTCCTGCACTTGTATTGTTATCTTTCAATATGATTTCTTTTTTTCTTTTGTCTTTTTTTTCTCTTGTACCATAAATTCTTTTCTCATTCATTCCATATTAAATATTATGTTGTTTCAACAATAATTTCCATTGTGTTTAATTTCTTCATTTTTGTTTCATTTATGTGCTTTGAACCAATTCATAACATTAACCTGTAAAATAAATTATAAAAATGAATTTTTATAATAAATATTTTTTTCAAATATTTTAAAATTTTATTTTATTTTAATTCCAATAAAATTAATCTATGTAACAATACATATTTTAAAAAATTAATTCTCTAAGATACATATACATATTGCAATTATAATAAAAATAATGTTCAATTATTTAATAAATAATAAAAAAAAACTTTTATAGTATATAATATAGTATATAATATTATATATATTATATACTTAATACATAATATATACATATGTACAAAAATATAAAAATGAATATATCTAGAAATATATAATTCATAATATAGAATATATTTATATTTAAAAAAATACTATATTATTACATTATATAATATAAAAATTATATCATTATACATTAAATAGCAATATTAATTATTTTTCAACATTCACATGTTTATAAAGTATAAATTGCCTATTAATCATTATTAAACAAGTACAATAAAAAAACTATATAAAAAATAAGTTATAATAAATAAATATCATAATCTATATATTATATGTAGAATAAATAATAATAAAATATGTATGTAGAATAAATGATAATAAAAAGATTATACTAATGTATTATTATATATTAAAAATAAAATCAATTTTAATCAAGTAATTAATATCAATAGTATATGTACCATGATTAATATTATATAAACTAATCGTTATTTCAAATATATAAACAAGAAAAAAGAGCTCAGAATACTTAATTTAATAAAGAAATAAGAACATGAAATTCTGCTTACCTTATATTTTTTGCTTGCAAAAAAGAAGCACGTTCAAAATCGCAGATTTTTCAGAGCGATATTTTTTGTAAAGGCAACATCCAAACACACAAAGTAAATCAAAAGGAACGTCAGAAAGGCAAGATCGTTCTTCCCACGAAGATATAATTCAGTATATTGGATCACTATTTTCGAGCGATGAACTTCGAACGTAAAGTAAGTTGAGGCGGTAAGCGGCTGCCGGCGAACGATAACAACGCGTTATTAAAAAATTGGAATGTGATGGTATACATAAAATAAGATGATATACATGAAAGAAAATTTTGAATACTTTTACGAAACTAACGAAATAACGAAAGAGAAAAATGTGTCAAGTAAAGGAAAAAAGATTGAAGATAGAAGGAAAATATATATTCAAAAGTAAAAATTTAGGTTCGGTATTTTGATATAGAATATCGCACATAATTACACTAAATATCACTACCAAATATATGTTGTAGAGATTAATAACAGGTATGCTTGCATCGTTTGACGCATTCCCACGTGATTACTCGTCGCAAAATATAGAAAACAGCAGCAGTGGTGGCGGCGGCGGTAGCGGCAACGACAGCGTTTCCTCGTCGTGGCACAGAATTAAAAAACAAAGATAAAAACATGCCGCACAACACCACCGCCGTCTTCGTCCTCAACAGAGGAGGCAGTTCTTTCTCGTCAGCTGCACGTCTATTGCATAATGACGCGCAAGATTTGTATCCCCGGCAAAGGTACTAGTATACAAATCACTTGGCGTCTTCGTCAATGTCCACGTACGCGAAAAACTTTTACACATGCGACTTCCGTAGAGATGTCGAAGGCATCGAGAATATAATACAGAAGGGAAAGAGAGTGAGAAAGAAAATGAGAATTGTATGTGTGTATATGTGTGTGTGTATGTATATATCGAGAAAGAGTAAAAAAAGATAGAAAAAGAAAGAGAACGCGCAATAAAGAAAGAGAGAGAGAAAGAGAGAGAAGACACTAACGTGCTTCGCCTCGTGAATAGCGTAACCACGAGACGTGCGTTAACGCGGACGTAGGCGCGTTTACACGCTTGAACAGCGATCAGTTGAAAAAAATGTAGTCGAACAAGAACACACGGATAAACGAGGCAAGCGGCTTCCTTCGCGGTACTCTTGTAGCGTACAATGGCGGAGCAAAAAACAGATTCGAAGGCTGCTTCTTTTGGGCAGTTTCCCCTCCTATAACGCTCACCTCACTTCGGGGGCGCTCGACATAATCGCACATACACCCATGAGAATCACGAATAATCGAATGTTCTTGTGCACTACGCAACACGACACGACTTTCATGCAATTCGCACGGATATAAATGTCCGTCACACCCAATGCACGATAATCCCTTGACTGATTTCTCGTTACAAGCAACGCGCGTACTCCTAACCGTTTTGCGTCTCTCGGTATGTACGTGATTCCGACAGTATAGACTTTCTCTCTTTAAATACGAATACCGATGTCGATTTTGGTAAAAGTCACACGAGCAACACGAGCTATTTATCAATAATATATAGGAAATTCAACCAACTTCGCTGTTGCTGAAGCGGGATCGACCAATACTGCAGTGCTGCTGCCGGATGTGGCCTTCGTGCCACGCTGCCCAATCGGATTCATTTTCTATCTATAATGTCGGCGGTAAAGTCCAATTCGCAGCTCGATATATGAATACTAACGAAAAACCCTAGATTCAGAATATTACTTTTCCCGCTTATTCCATACAGTATACCTACTGCTATATGCAAATTGTAAGTTTGTGTACCGAAATTATAGCGTCGTGTTTAAAATAAATATAAAAATTATTTATTTTTTATACAATTTTAATTAATTTTATATAATTAATTTATTTTCTATTAAAAATATTGAATAATAATTCTAATATGATAAATGAATGATAAAAAATTGTAATTTTTATTAACTTATTATATAAAATATTATATGATAATATATAAAGCATTAAAATAAATTTATTTTCATTCTAATTTATAATTCTATATTATAATAAATATTTAATATATACAATCAATTTTGTACTTGTTAACGTTAAATACATGATAAAAATAATAGCAAAGAATTATTGAAAAATAAAATAAAATATAATTATAAATCAATATTTAATTTTTATTAAATAAACTGCACAAATGTTGAATATATTGAAAAATTTCTTATCCAACATACTGTATAAACTATTATAAAATATTTTTATTGCTGCGTATTGGTTTAATTATCATTTCTTTCGTTAGATGGCGAGATAAATATAACAGTATTGGTACTGTTAATGCTGTATATAGAGTAATATTTTTGGACATGATAAATATAAAAATATCTACAAAATAATATAATGTAAAATAAAAAAAAAGATATATATAAAATAATTAATATTAAATATTTAGAAATTTCACAAAATGGATATTGCTAAATCATTATTTAATGTTCGTGATCATGAAGGTTATATTGGTAAAGAAGACTATAATGTTAGTATTTATTTAATTTTTATGTATTTTTAATTTAATTAATTTTTATTTACACAAATAAAATGCAACATTAAAATATGATATTTATAAAAATACATATAGTTTTATAAAATAATAAACTTTAATAATATTAATAAAAAAAAAATATACATCTGTTAACATATTATTGATATGAAATTATTCAATATTTTTATATTTTAGAAAAAATTAGAAACTGCTGCTTCTGAAGATGAATTTGAAATAGAAATTACAGGATTATGTGGAGAAATTTTATCTCCTGCACCAGGAGGTCCATTTTCTGCTTTAACTCCATCTATGTGGCCTCAAGATATTTTAGCTAAATTAAATCAACCTGATGATCCTAATTCACAACCTGAGTATAGGTATTTATTATAAATTTCTTAATAAAGAATATTATTTCAATATATAATAATTTAATATAATATATATTAGGTTTGATGAATTTGGATTTCGTGTAGAAGAAGAAGATGGCCCAGAACAAAGTTCAAAAAAATTATTAGGTATTCCATTTGTTGAAGATCCTCAACATAGGTATAGAGAGAATAAAATAAAAAAATGAATTAATTATGAAATTAAAAAAAAATAATTGTGTAATTTTTATATGCTTAGATTACAATGGGTTGCTCTCTTAGAATTCAGTCATAATAAAGAAGTAACTGAATTTTCTTGGCAAAATATGGATACAAGATTACCACGTACAGATAAATTGCGGGATATGGTTCATCATGGTGTACCTCATTCTCTTAGACCACAAATTTGGATGAGAATGTCAGGTACATTACAATTTTACATTCAATTACAATTTTTTTAATATTCTAAATTTATAGTGTATATTTTATAATATATTTAAATATACATTATAAAATAAATATTAATTTTATTTTATATTACAGGAGCACTTCAAAAAAAATGTTCTTCTGAGATAATGTATAAAGATATAGTTAAAGCATCAAGTAATGATGCATTAGTGACTAATAAACAAATTGAGAAAGATTTATTACGTATTATGCCAGCCAATGCATGTTTTAGTCATCTTCATAGTACAGGAATACCACGTTTAAGACGTATTATGCGTGCTCTTGCTTGGTTATATCCTGATATTGGGTAATTATATTTTATAAAATAATATTAAAATATTCTTCAATGACTATATTATTTATTTATTTTTTAAGATACTGTCAAGGTACAGGAACAATAGCAGCTTCTCTACTATTATTATTAGAAGAGGAAGATACTTTTTGGATGATGGCTACAATAGTAGAAGATTTATTGCCAGCATCTTACTATTCTTCAACATTATTAGGTAATAAATTAATAATGCATATAACTAATAAATTAATATAAAAATTAATTAATTTTAACTTAAAAATATTTATTATAGGTATTCAAGCTGATCAAAGAGTACTTCGAACATTGGTGGCTAATTATCTTCCTGATATAGACCATGTTTTAGTTCAACATGATATAGAACTAAGTTTAATATCTTTACATTGGTTCTTAACTTTATTTGCATCTGTTGTACATAAAAAAATATTGCTTCGTATATGGGATATGTTTCTTTTTGATGGATCTATAGTTTTATTTCAAGTTACACTTGGAATGCTAAAAATTAAAGGTATATATCATTATTAATAATATTTATTAATAAAATAAGGTATATATATATATCATTATTAATATCAGTATATTTACAAATATAATTATTATTTCTGATAAAATATTTAATATTGTTTTAGAACATGAATTAAAACAAGTAGAAAATTCTGCACAAATATTTAATGCTCTTTCGGATATACCTGGAGATATTGACGATGTAGATTTATTATTTAAAGTAAGTTTGATTTTGCATTTATTATTAATAAATGTGCTATAATTTTTTTTACATTTGTAATAAATAAATAAATTTCTGTAATAAGAAAATAAATAATCGAAAATTATCTTTTCATAGGTATCTTTAGAAGTAAGTGGGTCATTAACAGATGTTTTAGTTGAAACTCACAGACGTAGACATTTGGCCTATTTAATGGCAGATCAAGGTGGTTTAGTGGGTAATCCTGATGCTGTACCAAATTTACCAAAACAACATCTTAATAGGTATATTCAATTTACAGAATTTAATTACGCAAATTTAATTATAAATTTAATTAGAATATTCAAAATAATATAATGTTTCATTTATAACTATTATAATGATCTCTATTTCCTTAAAGACGTCAAATGAAAAGAAATAAATCAATGTTTCAAACGTTTTTATTTGGAAGTTATGATACTGAAGATGATGCAAAATCAAAAAATATTCGTCAAACAGGTATTAATTAATTTTACAAAAATATATATTTTATATCATATCTGAATGTTTAAAAAAAATTTAAATAAGATAAAAATATAATATAAATATTTTAGAAATATTGGTTGATCTAAGAGAAGCTGTTCTGCAAGTTGCAAGACATTTTATAAATGTTGATCCAAAATTAAGTAATATTGTGCTTGTAGCAGATTATAGTATGGAAAGTCATGCAAAAGATCATGATAATTATGTAAATGTATCACGGACTAGAAAAAGAAGAGCTAAAGCATTATTAGGTATTTTTAATAACAAATATTTATATTATAAATTGTATATAATATAATATACATTATTATAAAGAAAAATTAATCTTATAAATTTCATGATTATGATTATATTAGATTTTGAAAGACATGATGATGATGAATTAGGATTTCGAAAAAATGATATAATTACAATTATAAGTCAAAAAGATGAACATTGCTGGGTAGGAGAACTTAATGGATTAAGAGGATGGTTTCCTGCAAAATTTGTAGAACTATTAGATGAAAGAAGTAAACAATATACATGTGCTGGAGATGATGCAGTTAGCGAAGCTGTTACTGATTTAGTAAGAGGAACCTTGTGTCCAGCTATAAAAGCAGTATTAGAACATGGAATGCGTAGACCATCATTTTTAGGTGGTCCATGTCATCCATGGCTTTTTATTGAAGAAGCTTCAACTAGAGAAGTAGAAAAAGATTTTAATTCAGTTTATAGCAGATTAGTATTATGTAAAACATATAGATTGGATGAAGATGGAAAAGTACTTACACCTGAAGAAGTAATATTATATTTTTGTTATAAATTATTCAATTTAAATTTTTACGTAATTATGTAATTATATAATAATTATATAATTTTGTTTCAGTTACTATATCGATGTGTTCAATCAGTAAATTTGACACATGATAATGCACATGCACAAATGGATGTGAAGTTACGATCCCTCATTTGTTTAGGTTTAAACGAACAAGTATTGCATTTATGGCTTGAAGTTTTATGCTCTTGTGTAGAAATTGTGCAAAAATGGTAATAAATATTATAAAAAATAATAATGATAATTTAATATCATCATTAATTTGTAATATCATATCATTAATTTATACATTATTTCATATGTACATAATTTATGTTATTAATTTTACAGGTATCAGCCATGGAGTTTTATAAATAGTCCTGGCTGGGTACAAATTAAATGTGAATTAAGAATATTAAGTCAATTTGCATTTAATTTAAATCCTGATTGGGAATTACCACCCAAGAAAGAACAATCTCAACCTCTAAAAGATGGTGTTCGTGACATGTTAGTTAAACATCATTTATTTAGTTGGGATCTTTAGCACATAATATAAAAAAATTAACAATTTTTGTATTAAATTTTTCATATATGCCACAATAATAAGAAGATAATTGTGTAGTACAAATCAATTGTTATTATGTATGTAGATTATGTATTATATATGTGGATATATATGTGTGTATGTATTATACAAATTCAATGCTATAATACTTCTATATTTTTATTTGTTTATATAAATTATTTAAATTTTATTATTCAACTAAAGCAAATATCAAAAAATTTTAATAATTTTATTAATTGCTAATAAATAAAAATGAATTGTACATAAATATATTTATATATATACATATGTTACATATTATTGTTAATTCTATTTTAAAAAAAAAGTCGTTGAATGGATGAAATCATTGTATGAATTACATTAAAATCAATATGATAAATAAGATTGATGTTTAATAACAAGATTGATATTATTAATGAAAAAAAAATACATAAATACAAAATTAAAACATTAATTAACTTGAATTAATATAACCGTACTTAAAATCGTACACGTCTTGAATCTCAAATCCGCAAGCCATTTGTTAATATATAAAATTTTAATATGTGTATCTATAATACGTGTACAAAAAAATATTATATATTTATAAAATTTAATTTTCACACTTTACATTATATAACAAAAGATGAAACAATTCTGAATATATATTGTAAAAAATGTGAAGTCTTTATCTTTTATGATATACTTCAAATTGCAGTTTTAGTTCTCAAAACATGTACATTTTAATATCTGGCTGATTGTATGATTTTATTATATCTTTTTCATTGACAGTATTTTAAAAATTTTCAATAATAAATTGTATATATATATATACATATATACATATATATTATTTATTTATGTTTAAATTTTAATACATATAAAAAATATAAATTTAATAAAAATATACATTTTTAAAATTTTTGATATGATATAAAAAATTTTATTTTTTTTATGAAATTTATTATGATGGAAAATCTTTATCCTTTAAAAGATTTTTAAGCGGAAATTTTCTATCTCTACGACAACATGGATCTCTTAAGTTATCATCAATAATTTTTATATTAAGTTGTTCATCTTTTTTGATCATAATTTCTGGTTTTTCTAAAATTTTTTTCCATTCAAAAAATTCTTGTTTATATAAATCTTTATGTGTTTCAATAGTTGAAGGATCAATATGTAAATCATGTGCATCTAAAGTATTGTCAAATATTTCTTTTTCAGTATCTAATATTTCTTTTTCAATATCTAATTTACATTTACAATTGCGTTTTTTTATATAAATAAGATGTAAATCCATAACATTAGTACCAGTAAAGCCAGTTTTAAATAAATCTGAACCTTTCCTAAACCGAGAATATAAATTATATGAATTATTATCTTCTAAAGTATTTTCAGGTAACATACGTTCTATTTCCATTGTTTGAAATATTAATGGAAGTACAATATTCTCATAATCTATACTTGTTTCATTTTTGTCAGAATCAACTTTATTTTCTATTATCTCTGTTTTTTTAGCTTTTAAATAACCACTTAATTCTTGTGTTTTGCATATTTCTTTATATTTCTTTATATCAAATTGTTCTTTTTCTTCTTTTTTTTTTCTTATAGCTTCTTTCTCTTCCTCTACTTTAACTATCATTTTTGAAGCTGTAGATTTTACTTTTGTATATATATCATGGATTAATGGTCCAATAGCAGGATAGCCAAATGCACCTGCTGCATCTGTTGGACCATCTTGACCATCTGTTCCTGCACTTAACATTATTACTTCATATTCCGAAAATCGAGGATAAGCTTTAATTTTTGTCAACCAGTCTAGAGAAAAATATAATGCTAATTCTTGATTTCTACCACCTTTTCCTTTTCCTTTAACTACTACAGTTGGCTCTCCTCCTCCAATTAATACTAATCCTTCTTCACTCACATTATCAATTAAGTTATAAATTTCATCTACTTTAGTAGAAGATAAAGAAAGTACAGGAATATCTTTTACTTTTGCAAAAAACTCTTCTTTTTCTAATGTTTTATCTAATGCAAGACATATTAAACTTGTTATATGAGCATATGCTAAACTGACATCATGTACATCACCTACAACATCAGATCTTAATATTATAGGCGTTAATTTATAATTACATGCTTCTAAAGAAGATGCTTCGATTGCCACTGTATTATTTCCTAAGATAATATTAGTTACATGTTTGAATTCTTTTTTTCTAGTTAACAATTGTTTATCTTTAAATTTTTCCGTAGACATTAAAATTTTTTTTAAATCACCTTCTAAATGTTCAAATATATTATATTTCTTTAATACAGCTATTACTTCTTTTGGTCTTTTAGCACTATATACTGTAGGACCACTAGCAATCGATTCTACAGGATCTCCTACAATATCAGACAATATCAAGCTGATAATTGAAGCTGGATAAGCCATTCGAGCCAAACCACCACCTTTTACCATAGATAATTTGCTTCTCACTATATTAACTTCTTTGATATCAGCTCCAGCATTTTGAAGCATTTTACTTACATATAATTTATCTTCAAAATCAATTACTGGTCTTGGCATATAAAGTAATGCAGAACCACCACCAGATATTAATACAATTAAAGTATCATTTTCTGTAAGTGATTCTACTAAGTCTATAATTTGATGTGTTGTTTCTAAAGATCTATCATCTGGTTGATTATTTGTAGAACCTTCACAATATTTTATTACACCACTTTCTAATAAAGGAAAATATGATTTATCTTCAGATTCCCACATTGCCTCTGTTGATGCAGAAGGAATACTAACAATACCATCCTTCAAATAATTGCCAAGCATATGTTCAAGAACTATTGCCATACCCATGACTGCTTTACCAAATCCAATTAAATAAACATTTTCTTTAAGTTCAAAACTTTGGTCTCCAACATATAATATTCCATTTTTAAATTTAACTTTATTTATTATAAGAGTTTTTGGTAAAACTGCATTAACACCAGCAAAATATATATTTTTTAATATAGATTTAGATTTTTCTAAAGATTTTATATCTAATGACATTTTTCTACATGTGAATTTTATAATGTTTAGGTTAGATAGAAAAAAAATTGGACTACTGAAACAAAGTTAGAAATAATCGTGAATGTATGCAATAAAATATTTGTATTATTAGAAATGATTAAAATACTTATTACGTATGTACCTATATTGCGTGAATTTATGTAATATTTTTTTATAGTACATTTTTATACTATAAGAATTATAAACATATCGTTACGAAATAATATTCAGATATATTCAATGATTAGTTCACTTTTATGTACTATTTTGAATATATTTTACATATATTAAATTTTTAATTTGTTGAATATTTATTTTAGATTATCTTCAATTATATTTATTTTTAATAAATCATATTATAAATATTATAAATATATAAAAAGCATTTTAAATTTAAATGCATAATATAATTACTACATATAACTATGATAGAAAATTGTTTTATTTATATTTAAAAATTTACAAATTAAAAACTACACACATTTTTTACTTCAAAATTACAATAAATCATATTATATATAACACATATTATACACAAAAAAAGATAAATTAATAAATTACGAAAATTAAATTTTATTATATATCTTTAAAATTAGTACAACTTAACAATTTAATACTTCATTGATTATTGAATTATTTTGAAGTAAATATATATGAAATATATGAAAATTTAAATTTAATAATATTAAATAATAAGTTTTAAAAGATATTCTTTCGTTTATATTGTGTGGCTCTTAAAAGAGCCGTTTTGCTTGGAACTGTATTGGAAGAATTTAACCACCAAATCCATAAAGTGTTCTTCCCTGACGCTTCAGAGCATAAACTACATCCATAGCAGTTACAGTTTTCCTTTTTGCATGTTCAGTGTATGTAACAGCATCACGGATAACATTTTCAAGAAATACCTTAAGTACTCCTCGAGTTTCTTCGTAAATCAAACCAGAAATTCGTTTTACACCACCTCGTCTAGCTAAACGTCGAATGGCAGGTTTCGTGATACCTTGAATATTATCACGAAGTACTTTTCTATGTCTCTTTGCTCCTCCTTTTCCCAATCCTTTTCCTCCCTTTCCACGACCAGTCATGATGAAACTTTACTTCCGTACGAAAGATTTCGTTATTCTCAAATGTATATTTTACAATCTAGAACTCGGTTATATAGTGAGCTTCGTTCATGTATTTTCCCACCACTTCGTTATCAACCAATTACAGCAGTCCCTTGCTATACCAATTGCTTACAATTAAATCCCATATAAAAAGCCGGTAAAAAGTAATTGTATATATTGTACAATCAAGATGAACATCTGCTGCTATAGAATAACCGATTTTATTAAACCGGTTCCGATTTTACGTGAAAAACCAGAATATTTATTTTAACTGACGTTTGAAAGATTATTTTTATATTAAATTCATATTTATTTCATTCTCATTTAATATAGAAAAGAAATATATACATAACGCACGCACACACATTTAAAATTTTCTATATTTCTTGAAAATTAATTAAATCTTAAACTAATTGATAAAATAATATATTAGAAAATAATATAAAGGAAATTTTTTAAGAGTTCGAAAGCATTATAAGTTTAATTATTCTTTTTTTCTGAAATATAGATATTTTTTATTTGCATACATTGAAATTTTACATGAATAGCATGAAAAATTATAAATGCTATGATTTTTTTTATTAGAAATAAATAATGTAATAGATAATAATTTTTTTAATTTTCAATATTACAAGATATGTGCTATTAATGATATATATTCAAATATAATTTATATATGACGAAGTTTTTCTGATTCAACTTCTTGTTTATAGAGATATTTTAAAAATTTAATTTAAAACAATATTATTATTTTTAAGCAAAATTTAATTGCGAAAAATATTAAACAAATAAAAGCAATTCAAAAAAATTTTACTCTTAAATAAAAGAATTTATTTTCATCTTATGAAAAAAAGAAAATATATTTATTTTTTCAAATTTTAAATTTTATGAAATGCATTTTGATTTATTTCTATGATTTTCAATAATTAAAGAAATTGAAAAATGTATAATATGAATTAATAATAATTTGAATATATATATATATTGAATAATATATTGAAAATGTATAATATGAATAACGATTTATCTTTTATATTTTTAAATAATATTGCACAATTATTTTTATAATATCCAATCTTATAAAATGTACAATAATTTGTTTTAAATAAGCTTTTTTGGATAACAAACTATATGAAAGCCTCTATATTACTATTATATTAAAATTATTATTTTAATATGTTTAATATGATGTGATACAATTCAAAAATATTATGAAAAATATATTTTTATATAAAAAAGCGCACCAAATTAAATATGTTAAATAAAATAAATTTAAAGTTTCGAAATAATCAATAATGCTTTTAAAATGATACATTATTTTTAAAATTTTTATTGAATATTAATTAAATAATTATGAAACGATATTGCTTATATTTATCATAGTTTTGCTTATGTATATATATTAAATTTAAAATATATTCTAATATTAAATTACTATAATTTGAAAAAAACTCTTGATATTTTTTATTTTATCTTTTGTCTTTTATATTTCGATATTAGAATTGATTTTTAAAAGATATTTTTTAATTATAAATGTATATAAATGTATTATAAATATTCAAATATGTGATTCAAAAAAATAAAAAAATTAAAATATATTAATTAATAATTAAAATATAATTTAAATATATTAATTAATAAAAATTAAAAAAAAAAAATATAAAAATATAAAAATTTAAAAAAAAAATTTTTAAGTTTAATTGTATTAATAAAATTTAAATAAAAATACAATTTTTTGAATTATTATAACGAATTTTCATATAATATTGCAGGTTACTTTATTAAAATTTTAAAATCTGATTTTTGTTTGCTAGATGTGTGCAGTTATTTAGTTTATTTTACAAGAAATATGAAACATCTCACAATAACTATATTTTTAACCTAAAATATTTTAAATATATATTTAATTCAATTTACAAAAATATAATTAATAATAATGTATTCATTTTTATTTTTATTTGTTATAACTTTAAAATATTTTATAAATTAATTTCTGAAACTTCATATTAACGATCTAATTGTTAAAATGCAAAAATAAATGTTTAAATATAATATTCAAAAATAAATTATTAAAAATAAAATTTATAATTGAAATTTTCCAATATTTTTTTTTTATAAAAAAAAAAAGATTCATAGAAGATTAAAATTCAATCAAAAAATTATTAAATAATCTAAAATTATTAAATAACATAAATGGAAAAGTAAGGTAAATTGAAAGTAAAAACCGAAAAGTTCCTTTAGTTTTAAGATAATTTGTGGCCCTGAAAAGGACCATTTAATAAGTTTATGTTTTTTTTTCTGTTTTTCTTGGCAAAAGCACTGCTTGAATGTTGCAGTAAAATATTTCCTTGACTTATAATAACTTCAGATAATTTATTCAATTCTTCATCATTATGAATGAAGCAAGTTGCACATGACATGATATAATTCTAGATTTTTTATTATTTTGAGCTGTATTTCAATCTAATTGTTAATTCCAGAAATTCAGCAGTCAGATAGACAGGAGTATCAGAACCAATATATTCAACATTATCTTTTTTTAGAAGTCTATGAATACAACTAACTCGAATTTGAAGTTCTGCTTTAGTCAAACAGAATAATTTTTCCTTTATTTTTGTTTTTCTTCTTTTGCCATGACTAGACATTTTAGATTATACATACTTTTTTAATAGCATATATGTATTTTATTTAATTACATATTGACCATTGTGATCTAATACATATTGCCATCTTTTAGGTAGTAGCATGATTCCACGTTCATAGAACTTTTGATCTTTGTTTGCAAAAAACTGATCTAAGTAATTTTTGACATCCTCATTTGAAGTAAATGTTTTATCATCTAAAGAATTCTGTAAAGATCGAAACAAGTGATAATCTGAAGGTGCCAAATCTGGCGAATATGGTGGATGCGGTAGCACCTCCCATCCAAACTGTAACAATTTCTGGCGAGTCATTAAGCTCATATGAGGTTTAGTATTATCATGATGAAACACTACACCTTTCCTATTAATTAATTCAGGTCTCTTTTGTTTGATAGAATTGTTTAATTTGTCCAATTGATTACAGTACACTTCCGAATTAATTGTGCAATTATTCGGTAGAAGCTCAAAAAAAACAACTCCCTTGAAATCCCACCAAACAGAGAGCATCACTTTTTTGTGAATGTTGTTTTTCGAAGTTCTTTGCGTCGACTCATTTAACTCTCGTTTAATATTGTCGTAAACGATCCATTTTTCATCTCCAGTTACGATTCGCTTTAAAAATGGATCACTTTCCTCACGTTTGAGCAGCAAATCACAAATATCAATGCGACGGAGCAAATCTCTTTCTTCGAGAACGTGTGGAACCCAAATATCGAGCTTCGAAACGAAACCAAGTCGTTTCATGTGATCATGAACAGTTGAATTCGACAAATTCAATCTCATAGCAATTTCTCGAGTTGTTATTCGTCGATTTGCTTCAATCAGTGCCTTTATTTTGTCTTCATCAGCTTCAACTGGTCTTCCAGAACGTGGCGCATCTTTAATGTCAAAATTGTCAGAACGAAATTTTGAAAACCAGTTTTGACACTGGCGTACTGTTAATATATCTTCTCCATAAATTTCACATAATTTTTTTCTTGCCTGAACAGCATTTTTACCTTTTCGATAATAAAAAAGTAAAATATGCCGAAAATGTTCCTTTTGGTCTTGCATCGTTATCACACACGAAAAATACAACCGAATAGAATCAAATGAATTTTTTTTACAAATAAACGATGAAATGTCAATTTTCCAAATATATAATACATATTATATAATAAATATATAATATATAACACAGTTTAGGATAAAGTTGGTTGGATAAATATTCAACTAACGACGCTCGTTGCTAAAAAAACGAAATTATTTTCCGAACAATATAAAAGAAAATTAGCAACAAGAACAGCAACGCTACAAAAACTCCCTTGAATGAAAGTGAAATGAATATGTTTAACGTTTTTATATAAGAACTGTGTAGCTTGTTCTGACCAATAACTGACAAGCAGCATTTTCATTGGTTTGTATCTACAATAGTTTTATAATCTTATTTTATATTATTTTTATAAATTAATAATCTTTTAAATTAATAATATATTTAAAATTTTCTAATTCTATTTAATAATTTCTTCTTTTTAATTCTTCATTAATTCTTTTTAATTCTTCATTAATAATTATTATATATATTTTTAAAATAATGTACAAATTTCTTATATAAAATATTTAAATATTGATTAATTAAATAAAAATTATTATTTTTTTATAATATACATATATTTATTTTATTTTTTATATTTTTGTATGTGTTTTGTAAATATATATATTTTTATTTTTCATAAATATAAATATAATCATATTTTTAAAATATTTAATTTATCATATTTTTTGTATTTAAATATATATTACAAATATTTGTATGTATATGAACAATATATAAATTTTATTTCACAATAATCAATTAATAAATTATATATTATTGCAATATTAAAAAATATTGAAAATAAATAGTATATTAAATTCTAAATTTCTAAATTTAATATTAAATCATTATTTGTAACATATATTATAGAGAACTTCTAAAAATAATTTTTTTTCATTAATAGTTAATTTAAATATTGTAAAAATATTTAAATATATAATATATTTTTAATTTATCAATATATATACTTAATTTATTGTATTAAATTTAAAGCTAAATATTTCTGCAATTTTTTGCTATGAGATTATCTACTGTAATTTTAATTTCGTTTAATGTTTTTTATTATTAGAAAGATAATAATATGTAATAACTAAAAATTTTTATTTATAAAAAAATAAACTTAGAAATATATTAGATATATTATGTATAAAAATCAATTGTATTAAGAATGAGGTAGCATCAACGCACCAATCATATTGTATAAAAGTGTCGACGATTCCATTTTGAGCTCTCATTGGTTGAGTGTTGCTTATACTTTGGTATATGAAAGGAACACGCTATCCACAGCAATCATTGAATCGTTTGCTCAGTACATGGTACAGTTATACTGAACTCTGAAAACTTGACGACATTCAATTTATCATGCCGCCGAAAGTTAGTGGAAAAGCAGTGAAGAAAGCTGGTAAAGCACAAAAAAATATTAGTAAAGCTGACAAGAAAAAAAAAAGAAGAAGAAAGGAAAGCTACGCTATTTACATTTATAAAGTGCTTAAACAAGTGCATCCTGATACTGGTATATCCAGCAAAGCAATGAGTATCATGAACAGTTTTGTGAATGATGTTTTCGAACGGATTGCAGCAGAAGCATCAAGATTAGCACATTACAATAAACGATCTACCATTACTTCTCGCGAAATTCAAACTGCTGTAAGACTTTTATTACCTGGTGAATTAGCAAAACACGCAGTCAGTGAAGGTACTAAAGCAGTTACCAAGTACACCAGCTCAAAATAAACATCTTGTTGTTTAAAAAAAAAAAACGGTCCTTTTCAGGACCAACAAATTTTAATTACGTGGAACATTTTAAAGTTTTTAAACATACATAATTCAATACATTCATTATTAAATCCTATTTTTTTATTTTTTTCATATTTACTATTTATTTATATTTACAAAAATTATAATAAAATTTATTTTAATTACTATTAGTAATTTATTATTTATAATATAAAATGATATAATAAATTTTATTATATATATTATATATATGAATTATATATATGAATTAAAATGGATTCCAAAATCTTAATTTTTATTAAAAAAATAGTAAAATTATTTTATTAATAAATTTCAATATATAACTATAAATAATTATTAATTATAGTTAAATAAAATTGTACTTTCAATTGTTTTATTTTAATAAAAATTATATAAAATTCGTAAAATATATAATATAATTAATTTATCAAAGGTGAATACATTTAAAATTTATTTGTATAATATTATATAAAAATTAAAGATAAAAATAAGAATTAAAAATAAGAATAAAAATGATTTTTTTTTCAATTTGTTGAATTTCTTTAGAATTCTACATTTTTGCGCTTTTTTTCTAATATGGATGAAGTTCTATTAAATTGTAATTAAATGTAAACTACCACAGTCAAATAACAAAATTCCCTAGAAAGTTTATTAATCACGAATGTAGGTTTTCAAACACATACCAAACATGTATACCAATAACTTTCTATAATACTACATTATTTGTGTAAGATGGAAACGTTGTGATTACAAGTGTAAAGGTAGGAGCGGGATTATTGCGAGTGATTTACTTATACATTTATTTATAAAAATTTTAGATAGCCTGACATTTGGTTTAATAATTAATTCGTGAAAATATTCTTAATAATCAGTGATAATATAATATTTGTACTAAACTATAAATATGTCTGACGAAAAGAAGGTAATACTTTATAACCTCAAAACTGATGTAATGGTAAGTGACGATTCAAGAGCATTCTTTGTTATAGGAAACTAAGACAGAATCAGAGCACATAAATTTGAAAGTGCTAGGACAAGATAGTGCAGTGGTTCAATTTAAAATTAAAAAGCACACACCACTCAGGAAATTAATGAATGCTTACTGTGATCGTGTGGTAAGTACATATGATTAATTTATTATAATATTGTATTTTATTGGATAATTTTAAATTAAATTTTTTAATAATAAAATATATTTTATCTTTTATCTTATGTATAATTTATATATTTTGGAATTATTATGTTTATAATTATATTCATAGGGCTTGGCAATAGCAGCAGTAAGGTTTAGATTTGATGGACAACCTATAAATGAATTGGATACACCAACCACTCTTGAAATGGAAGAAGGAGATACAATAGAAGTTTATCAACAACAAACAGGAGGAGGATTGTGTTGAGATTTAAGATTGTCCTTTAATAGTTTGAAAATGGACTTGATAAAAAAATTTCTGTTCCAGTGCTTACTTTAAAAAGAAGGCATTAATAATTTTCTATTTTTTCCGATATAGAATATTTCATTTCATAATATAATATGGGAAAGTTGTTTATACTTTTTATATATATCAAACTTAACATTTAGATCAGTTCAATCTATATGTTAGTTTATTTAAAAAAAAATCTTTTTAAATACATTTTATATTCTTTAATATCATAAAATAATAACTTAAGATTTTTAATAAGTATTCACATTTTATTATTATTTGATGTTTTTAATTATTCTGGTTTTTGTAAAAACTAGATGAATTCTATTTCTCTTCTAATATATTACTTCAATTTCCAATAATTTGGCTGAAAATATTGTACAACAGATATACTGCTATGTTATTTCTAGTGATAAACATTGTAAATGAAGGCACATTAGTTGTCTCTTCAGCATTTTGCACTATGTAGAAAAACATCTACATCAACAAACACATGTTACTTACATAACATAAGATTCTTTGTAAATGATTTTCATAAAAAAGAAATTAATAATGTAAAATTTCAAATTTTCTTAATAAATATCATCTTTTTAGGTATATTCATTTATTATAATAATGTACAAGTAGAACAATGATGAAGAACATTGTGAGAAAAAATTATGTTAATATTTAATAATGTAATTATTTTTAAGAAGTTCATAAAAGTTTTGTTTGTGTTCTATGATTAAATCTTATTAATATTACATTTTTATTTTTCATGAAAATAATATTACTTTGTATATGAACAAAAAAATAAATTGTATCTTATCTTTTCTATAAGGACAAGTTTTCTTATTTTTAAGAAAAATTTTTTTTATAAAAAGTTTTATGTAAAAAATATATTTGAAATTTTGTATGTATTATAGATTTTAAAATATCAACAATTTATATTGGTGTTTTTATAGTTATATTAGTATTATATTTTTTATAACATTTTAGTAACATTAAAAGCATTTGTTTTATTTAATAAGTTGAATTGCCGAAATTTTCAGTCTACTTTAAATAAATTCTAAAACTTGGCAACACCGCTCTTATGAGTCGAGAGTTATAACATTATGGTTATGGCAAATAGAAAACCATAATTTAAGTAATATTTTTTAAAAAAATTAATTTAAACATGGATTATTTTTTTAATAATTATATGTAAATATTAAATACTTATAATAAATAAAAATAATATAATATATAAATAATATATAAATATTCATCAAATGATAAATTTTGAAGTTAGAACATTTATATTTAAATTATTTTATTTATTTTTATTTTTTGATTCATAGAAATATTAGTATAAAATAAGATCAGATTATTAAAAAAAAATATATAATTTTAAAAATGCATAATTAAATGTATAAGTTAATAGAAATTAAAAAAAATGAACATTTTTTATATAAACAAAAAGATTAAATGAATACATAAATGAAAATTTGTATAGTAAAATATAAATGAAAATGAATAGTAATAACAATTCATAAAAAAAAATTACTGAATTGATATTATATTATAAACACCAAGTTATATTAAAATTTAATTATAATTTAAAAATGTTAAATATGACTATAAAATACATTAGTATTAATCATATATATCAATATTAGATACATTCAATGCATTGATCATCTAATTACACTTAATATTTAATATATTTTTTATTGCATTGAATTCATGTTTTCAAGTCATTAAGACTTTATCATTCTAATGTCATTCAAGCATTGATTTGATAATTGTATGGATAAATTGTAATATTAGTAGCAATTAAAATTGAAATTAGATTTCAATATAAACTAAATTTCAATATAAAAGAATAGATTCGACAAATGCGAATCTTTGATAGTGTTATGTTATCTCACAAATCATATATTATTATTATATATGTTTTATGAAATCATCATTCTAAAGATTAAATCTCAGAATGTAATATCTATTTTTGTATATTAAAAATTAAGACACATTATAATTTTAAAAGAAAAAAGGATGAAAATGTGTTCAATTGATTTCCTTTATCTCATCTATAATCACGTATTAAAAAATATATATATATAAAGGGAACAAATAATATATAATATATAACAATATATACATAAAGAAAAAGGATAGAAATAAGATAAAAATTCAGGAATCAGCACTATATCTTTCTAAAATGTCGTTAATGAAACATAAATATAGAAAAAACAAACATAAAAAAAAAAGGCAAATATAAAATAGGAATTGTTTATCAACACCATCTCTTGAATATTTTTAGAAAGATGTTTTTGACATTTAAGAAATGACGTTAATTTTTTAATATATATTCTACTTTATTTTGTATTTGAAAAAATATTTTTGTCAAAAAATGATGATAATAAATTTTTATTCTATTTCTATCCTTGTCTATATTCAGTTTTTATGTTCTCTTTCACCCACTACTCTTTCTGTCTATACTTGTTTTACAAAACTTGTGTTGAAGTAATGGTTCCGATATCTAATTAACTTTATTATTTTTTTTGTCTATTGATTAAAAATTTTAATAGATTTATCTATTCGATTCAATTTTTATATATAGTAAATATATAAATTTAAAAAAAATAAAAATTCTTGTAATATAAAATAGTATTTTACATTTATTTTGTCCATCTTGTCTGTGTAGTAGAAGTGCAATATCTAACATATGAATTATGTGATTATTTCTAGGGATTTTATTTCTAAAATATCTTCAAAAATTAATATAATTGCAATCTTCTATATAATAATATATTAAAGAACATGGCGGTTAGTTGATGGAAAGGTGTACGTAAACAAAACGTTAAGTTTTACTAATCTTGTAATTAACAGTTACTTGTAAATAGTAATAATAATAATAAATGTATATAAATATATATACATAATTGTAAATAATTAGATATATAATATATGATTATTAAAGATATATGTGCAATATTGTTACATGTGAACAACATACATCTACTGTACATTCAAAAAATCAATAATTTTTTGTAAGAGTTTAAAATCATATTAATTTATTGAGTGCTAATTATAAAAAATGGCTGATTCTGAAGAGGAAAACGATAAAGATATAATATCTGGAATCAATATGACTGGTTTTTTATTTGGAAACATTGATGACAATGGTCAATTGGAAGATGATATTCTTGATCCAGAGGCAAAGCAACACATAACTTCATTAAATAGACTCGGATTAAGTTCGTTTATTCGCGAAATGATGTTAAATGAAGATGTTATTGAAGAAAAGGGTAATGAATCTAATGATAAAATTGAAGAAGAAAATGATATAGCTGATGAAAAAGATATAAATTATGTGGAAAAATCACCTAGTGCACTTGATTTTTCTGATATAAATGAGTTAGCTGAAGATGAAAAAGAAGAAAGTATTATAAGTATGTAATTTATTAAAGATTATTTTTTATGAAAAAAAAGTTTATATATAATATTAAAATTTATTAATTCATTTTTTAAATATATTTTTTTTAATTAATTTTTAATTAGACAAACAGGACATGTTTGAAGGTAAACCTGAGAAGGAAAATGCTGATTATGATGCAGATGATGAAGAAGTTATTATTAAATCTGATACACAATTAATGCCACC